GGGAAAAATCTACTTCCAAACTTGGGAGCACTCAATTTTACAAGCATCCTACCAATCCTGCTAAATGACTTTGTTGTATTTAAAGATCTTGAGGGGGAAAATCATTTTTTTTAAGGATCTACGAACTTCCGACTCTCAAACCCTCGATGACAGAAACTACAGCCTCGATTTAACAGTTTGGCCGCGTTTTTCTGCACATTCCGAAGACTGAAACCTAATGTCCATTTTTTATTGAGTGGAAACAGCCGTGGAGAGACGATTTCTACTCGAGGTCAACGGGCTTTCTGGGACCTTGAGAAAGCGATCTACGATAGAAAAAAACGATGATTGAATACAAACACTCATAAGGAAACGTGGAAAATGATGAAGGAAATTTAGGCCGGATCTTTAAGGATTTCACCCGATGGCGTTGAGAATACAAAACGAGGATGCTAAAAGTGATCGTCCAAAAAGCTCATTTATAACTGAACAACAGCAACAAAGACCACCGATGAAAAATAGGTTTTCAAGTCCACCGGGAAGTCTTATTTTAGTCAGCGAGCAAGACCTCGATTGTGAATCTACCTCAGCATTACGGTAAGTAAGAAATTAGTTGGTTTTTTTGTGCCGTTAGGATAAAAGTTTAGTGTCAAAGCTACCTTGCTTACAAGGGATTATTCCTTGAATTTGTAGTCCATAATCAATTCTCTTTTACAACATTTAAAATATTGCAGCAGAAATTCTATATTTTATCGTGTCTTAATCTAGATATCTTGTATGTTATGATAAATACATGTAAAATTCGAATTATTGTTTATACACTTCGACTACATTTATGAATATTATTGCTAACTATTAACTCGGTTTTATATTACAACATTACAAAGATTCGCAATATCGTTTGATTATTTTAATTGAAGCCCACTAGAAGCCACCACTTAAGACACTTACTTAATATTAAGAAAACATGTGAAGAAATTATGTCATATTTCTTTGGAAGTAATTCATGGAAAAATTCTGAAGTTTAGGCAATTTTTTTTTGTTTGCCTTGTATAATAAAATTATTTTTTCTCGTTTTATAGTCGTATTTAATTTTCTCCGATGTTCAAAATTTAATTTAGACAGGAATATACATGTTTTAATCTTAGCTTTATCAAAAGACATGCATACAGTTGTTCTTGATCATTCGATTTTACGTATAACGCGTCGTAGCTGTCTTTGAATGAAATGAAGATATATCATGTCTTCATTTCGGGGGAAAATATACTTCTCCCGAGAGGAATTAAAAATTTTTGGACTAAATTTCTTCCACTACTGGATATAACTTTATTTTTGCCTTTCAAATCGATTTGTTACCAAGAAAAGAGATATTTCTAGTCTTGAGCAGCGAAATTTCCAGAAAACTATTCTGGGAGTTCGGACCGGAAGTAATTTTTCTAAGACCTCATTAAACTCTAAATTATTACAATTGTTATTAAATTTCCTGTTGTATTCAATTGCTAACGGTTTTTTTCTTTTTTTCTTTTTTTACCCTCTTCTTTCATGGAAAGCTGCCAAATTTTGGCAAGTTTAGTTTTATTTTAGTTCAATATTGGGTAATGGTCTTTCTGCAACGAAATGAACGTTCGTTCTATAAGATTTTGCAACTGGAATTTTCTTTAGACGAAAACTTTTATTTAAAAAAAATCCTTCGTTCAAACTGCTAACGTTTGATATTTATTCTCACCTCAATACTTATTATCCCTAGCTAAACTACTTTAGCCAGAACGAGATGCTGTCATGCTCGGGATTTAACTGAATCTTGAGCCATTACTTTGAAAAGATTCTTTCTTTTGTGAAAGAGATTTACTTTATGACTTTTTAAATCTCTTCTACTTACATATAAGCCCTCATTTATCATTATATGTTCATCTTTTTGATATCGAATTTCGAAAATATTTTTAAAACGTTCGAATTCTCTCGCAATTGGTCAGAGAAAATATTAAGATAGGTGAGGTGCAGTTTGGTATTGATACCTCGGGTTATCTATTGCTTTTTCCCCTGAAATAATATTTTTAGAGCGACTTGCCCATAAGATATCAGGGATCGTGAGAAATGAAAGAATAATCAGGGGGTTATCGGTTAAAATATATTTAATGCAAAACTAAACTAAAATATTTAGGTATTCGCTGAAATCTAGAAAAAATTACGAAAAGCTAACAGGAAATTTTTTTTTCATTTCAAAATACAAAGTTGAACACTGCTCGCCGTTATTTAATATATATTAGACAGGTTAAATTATATCAAATATACTTATTTTACGAATCTAATATATGACGTCACTGGTTCATGATGTCATATTTTAGTACACGCGCGTCAGACTACACTGCCTCAAAATGCTAAGGCTTTTTACCACACCCAGTAGCTTTCTTTTGAAATCATCGTATATAAAAGTTTTCAGCCAATCTTGATTACCTAATCCTATCAGTTTAACACTCCTAGTGTAAGCGAACCGTAATTAAGCTATAATTGAGTGTTTTGTCTGATGTTTGCGCGCCCTTTAACGGTGACCTGCCCCGCGGGCTGCAAAGTAGTCGGTCAACCAAAGCTTTTTTAGAAGTTTTTTCCTTTATTTAGTCAAATTTTGATTCTATTCCATCTTTATTCTTATACGTAACTTAACATGCAGCAAGGGACTTAAACAGCGAGTTAAAGCTGTGGATTGCACTTTTTTTTGTCTGATATTTACCTTTATCTTCATATAGTACAATTCCGAAGGTCGTGTGTTCGATTCCCAGCGAGGTCGGAAATTAATTTTTCCGAATTTAATTCCAAGGGCTTTCGCTCGGAATAACCTCGTTCCCAAGCACTATAACTTATCTACATTTCTATATCTTCATGTATTTCATAAGTGCTACGCGGTCCACATATTCTCATCTTTTTATCTTCATATATTTTGGTTAAGTCTTGTTTACGTTCTTAGATTGAGCTGCTTAGCTGTTTTAGGTATAAAACAACTTATCTTACTATTTACTTATGTACACACTTTTACTTTTTATTCATTTGGCAGTTTATCGTTACATTCTACTGCAAAACTTGAAATTTGGCGGTGTCATTTAGCCATTAGCAGGCCGCTATTTCGAGCCCTGTGTCTCCCTTTCATCCCCCTCCCCCAAGGCAATAAATAGATAAATAATGACCTATCTCTAGGCTGTCCCTAGGACATTTTATTTTTACTGACGATGCATTGCGCACCCATATTTGCTCATTGTCGCTTATAAATCCCCATCCCCTCCCCCAAGGCAATAAATAGATAAATAATGACCTATCTCTAGACTGTCCCTAGGACCCTTCTATTTTAGCTTAAAATGCATTGCGCACCCATATTTCAGTACCGTATTAAATATGTATTTGATTAAAGCTACTTCACGGCCATAATTAAGACTGAGTGTACTGCGGTCATTTTGTCTAGCCTATATCATAACTTCATATTAGACACAACATTGAAAAAACGGTCTAATCTTGGCATTTGTTTTGTATTTCCCTGTAAGCCCCGCATGCAAGATAATTTTGAGAAGGATCCATTATCGAGTATTTTCAATGCATGAAATCTATTACTATCCACAACAAATCAACCCTCCCCTCAAAACTCATGTACGTTTTAAATAACAGCTGCCAAAATGAAGAGAGCCTGAGGGCATTTTCATATATGGATGTTTACATGTAAGACCAGTATACTTAAACAAGTAYAAAGCAACTATAGCTGGATATAAGAAATTGAGTAATATGTGCCTGGTCATGCCTTGTTTACACAAACTCCAGACACCGTGTTTGATCAAAAAACAATTAAATATTAGACTGCTCATGAAATTTTGGTGTTTTGTCGCTTAATTAAAAGCTTATTCCATTTCAATAATTGTTTAACGAATATCTTACAAAAAATACTTCAATTTATTATATTTTTCAGGTGTTGATAAAATCTTTTCGTCGGAGCTAAAAATAAAGATTTTTTTATGTTTCATTTATATTCATTTATTTCTTAGCTTTAAAACTAGTTATGGGAAATTATGAGCAAAGAAAAACACTATTTGAGGAAAAGAGCAACAGGACAAGAGTCCTTTATAAAAGTTTCTCCAAAACAAATGTTTTACAAATTGCTGGTTTTCAATCATTCCATGCAAGAGAATGAAATAACACAAGACATGGCGGCCATGTTGGATGATATAACAAAAGAGACCAATGAGGAATCTTTTGTTTAATTCATTCGTATAGCGGCTTTGAAAAACATCAATACTAATAAGAAACACCTAAAAGGACAAATACTGACATATGTGAACTTGATTCAAACAGCAGGTGATATTGTATGAGCGGCATTTAGAACAGTATGTCTTCTAGCTTCTAAGTCTGTCGGTTCTGTTTTTATCGAACAATATAAATATAACGAATGACGAATATAGAAATTCGTGGACGATCGAGCTTTATATTAACAATATTTATTTTCTCTGTAGTACAATTCCTATTTACGCAATTAATTAATGGCCATATGCTTTCCGATGTCAAAAATCCATTAATTTTGTTGGCTAATGGCCATCACACTATAGCATTATTCAGGCCCTGTCCACACTATGCCGGATAAATTTGAATCCGCAACTTTCACACCGAAACCGAAAAAAAACTTTTCCGTCCACACATGAAAACGGATAAAATGCTTCGCGTGCAAACTAGTCCGATCAGAGGCGGCAAAAACGCTTATATGCACATCAGGGCACGTGCATCGAGCTGAAATTGAGCCCGCCGTGAATTTTTAGCCTTCCCGCCATGTTCCCATGACAATCATGACGTCATCGTATTCGAAAAATTTCGGAGATACGAAATGTTTTCCGTCCACACTAATACGGCTAGCCGGCGTTCCATATTTTCCCACTCTGGAGACCGTATTCGAAAAGAATCGTTTTCGGTGAAGAATTGTTCCGGATTGGCCCGGACTAGTGTGGGCGGTAGGCCTAACCGAATAAATAAAAATTTGCATTCAAATTTATCCGGCACAGTGTGGACGGGGCCTGATCAGTCGCTTTCATTTTCTCTCTGCATAAATTCATCGAGGAACGCATTTTTCATTAAAATTTCTCTTTAAAATTTTGCACAGAATACAACGTTGCCTCGATACGTTTTTATTTGACACGCGAAAGAGCTTAGACTCATGTGAGCTTTTTATTATTTTAAAGTGGTTTGCACGTGTTCTGGTAAAAAGGTTACCATGACGACGAAATTGAAGACCAGTTGTTATTTTGTCTGTTTTTTTCCATTTTTTAATCCTTATAATTCAGAGATTTTTGTATGTTTTTTTACCACACAATTAAGTAGATAAAGAATTTCAAACTTGGCTTAAAGTTTTACATTTTGGATCAAACGAAGTCGGATAAACACTGTCACGTAACGTAACGTAACGTGTGATGTAACGCAAACCATTGTTATCGGACAAGCCTCACGAACTTATATGTTTTGTAAACATTCGAGCTGTTGATCACGTTCTAAGCCATAGAGAATCTACGTTCTTCGATCACAACACTTCTACAATTACCAGTCGATCAGAGAGGAATCAAGACAAGAGAAATAGCAAAAAAAGCTGATCAAAGTGGACGAATCTCGGACTTCAAGGGACCTTCAAGGTAAGAATTATCATTTGAAAAGACAGTGTTTGGTCTGGGTATAAACGAAAAGAACAGCCTTATTTTACTTTGTAATAGAAAAGTTTAGTCCTTTGTCATCTCTTGTAAATTCAGCAGAGCTTTTTAGATTGAAAATACTGTAATGGAGATGCGAGATTTGAAAGCGTTGTTCTCGCATCTCACCGCCGATAATGGCCTTGAGCAGTTTTCCCGCCATTTTTCTATTTCCCTAAAAGTCAAATAAAAGTTTATGAAATAAGGCTATCATATTAATAAGTATTCTTTGAAAAGAGTGTGCCGACAAAGGCACCATGAGTTTGAAGGTTTTTCAAGGTCATTTTTGCTAACAAGTTTGATAAACACGTACCAGTAAAGCTGAACAGGTTTAGTCCAAAAACAAACAACGCTTTTATCTACTTTCCTAACACGACACTTAATTCAATCGGTATTTACTCTCCGTTCTCCCCCTTAAAGCCGAATCAAAAACTTGTAATCTTCCCACGCTTGATTTAGAAAATTGAGCGATAACTAAAGTCACTAAAACGTTATTGAAAGCGGGTAGCGGTCACGCTTTTTTATTTCTTTTGGCTCAAAATGTTATATATCCGATAATTTAATAGCCTGTTGTATCGTATCTTAAATTTGTGGTTTTCTTTTCTTCAACCAATGCAGCTGTGGTGGGTAGTCCAGTTTTTGTCACCGGAATTCTTAATCTTCTTAATTACCATTTCGACAGGTTTTCGTAGACATTGTGGCAGCAGACAGCAAGACGTCGTGCAAAACCAACCCATAGCTGGTCTAAGTTTATAAACATAGATATGGTGGTCTAATTTGGAGGATTTTCTCAATACTTCTACGGACCAAGCTTTATATTTTTCGTCGAAGTGCAAGACCTGCAGTGTTTTTTCACCTGCCAGCAATCAAGACAACCTCACGTATTGTGTGTTTGCTGTACAACTAAAAGTTGCGTCATTCGAAAACAAATGTTGGTCTAGAAAAGTAGAAAGTCTTGGTTTTTCACTTTCTGCTCGAATTTTTCGTTCATTCGATGCTTTCTTTAGCTGAATTAATATTTGGAAACTTATAGTTTTAATTCCTTAACGACGGAAAACGTCATTTATATTCTTTATTTAACGTATGTCAACGACTGGAATTCCTCATTCAGTGTCGTTCGATTTTTCGCCTGTTAATCTATAGTACGCTGCCAAGTCTATACTCCTGAATTTTGAACATTTATCACAAAGTTCTCGGGTTTAATTTTGCGCTATTTACGTTGGGGATCGCTTGTCGAATCAACAGTAATTTTGTTTTTCTGCCCACTTGAATGGCGACATAATTAAATACATGTTTTATTTGCGGTTTTGATCATATATCTGGAAGTGGGTAGATAAACGCGTGGTTTCATACAACGTGTATCGATCAAAGAAGCCATAACGCGAAAAAAAACACAGAATATTGACACAGTTAGAACTGCTTTCTGATCAAAGATGGCCGCCAGTCGACGACCCAGAGCCTCGACATTTTCAACCTTCAGGTATACGTATTTTTCCTCTTCAATCTAAATTTAAAATTTTAATTTGTAGCAAATTCAAAATTCATTTCTAAATAATATCCTTCGTATTGCGAGTGCTTAATAACAGCAATGAAATTTTTTTAATGTATCAAATATATTACACTTGAAGAATAGCTTTTTAATTCAGAATTATGAATTTTAATTCCGCCGAAAATAACATTGCGCATTTTGCGACGAATTCAGTTATGTGCAATATAATTGGTGATTCTCCATAGTTACTTTGAAGATTGTTGAAAAATTGTAGTTTTAAATCAGTGAAGTTGTGTCAAAATTGTCGATGCGAAATTAAAGCTAAAAGATTTTAAAAATTGGATGATGTTATATTAGAGCACGTGTCTTTTGTCATAAAGTAAATTTTATTTGGGGAAAATGTCATATTATTCACAGTAATTTATTGAGCAGTTTTTGCCAGGAAAGTATTAATGCACTTTCAATTGGAAAGCTACAAAAATGGAGAGAGTTTAAGGCGAAGAACTGCACTTCAAACTGTGCAATCACAATGAAACTTCATCAACTTCTGCATTAATATGCCCGCCCCTTATTTGTCAACTACGAGAACAAAAAAGCACTTTACAATATTAATGATTTATTCTGTAATTCGGCAAAAACACTTGTATTTCTTTTTTGTTTTAAAATCTCGGCTTTGCTCGAAGTAGCTTACAATATTAAGTCCTCGTAGAATCATATCTTATTCTTATTCTTATTCTTATTCTTATTCTTATTCTTATTCTTATTCTTATTCTTATTCTTATTCTTATTCTTATTCTTATTCTTATTCTT